CCTGCGCCATGGCGGCCCTGGCTTACGTCTTTGTTTTTAGTTTTTCCTGCTGCGATCAGAACAGGTTTTTCAGGCTTCCTGAGGTCAGGGATGCACACCCTGCGCTGCCAGGAAGAGCAGGAGCGCGGCACCAAGCGTTCAGATCGCTTTTAAAGAGGAATCCTCCTGTGAGTAGAAATGTGGTGACTCAGTTGGTCTCGCCCACCCTTTTCTTCTGGTTTGCTCTCAGCAGATCCCGCTTCGCTCCCGGAGCTGCTCTGCTCATCCACTTGGGACTTTTTCACTTCCTTGTAGAAATGCAAAGTGGAAGCAATTCCTTAAAAACCAGTGGGATCCTAACAGTTTTAAATCCTATGAAACGAGGGGGACGGGCTGTTCCAAAGCCAGGGGACGTGTCCTGTGCTGCCGAGCCGTACAGCCTGGCAGCGCGGGGGGGGGGGGGCCCGCGGCCACCGCTGGGCCTGCTCCCGCCCGGCTGGGCCCGTGAGGGGGATGCGGGAGTGGGAAGATGGGATTTTCAGATAGTGAGGAGTTAAAAACAGCGTTTTACTCCCTTCTGGGCCTTAACTGTCCATGTAGTTTTGGTCTGCTAACCTCCTATCCATTTGGTCTTGCTTACCTTAATGACGTTACCAGCTGAGCAAAAGGAGACCCTGGGGGCTCTGCTGAGGGCGGCGATGCCGGGACCCACCTGCTCTTTCACGGTTTCTTTGCTTTGTGCCCAAGACAGAACAGAAGCGGTACACAGGGCTGACCAGGACAGGCGTCCCTTCGCGCTCCTCCCCTGGTGTATTTGGTACTGACAGCATTTGCGGAAGCTGGGGCTTTGTTGCAAAGCTGCTGTTGCCTCCAGTAACTTCATTGTACTCATTTTCTCCATTAATTTGACACTGAATGCACTGATTCTTTTTTTAACATATGCCAAATATCAGCGTAGCCCTTTATGGTAAGAATTGAAATGATGTAATTTTCTGAATAACGACACCTCCAGCTGAAGCACGTTTGAGAGCTGTAGGCAATAGCCTGTTGTGCAAGAGGTAAGTTGCACTCCTTTGTGGAGAGGGAAACTGAGGCACGGGCAGCGTCAACGCGTGGCACGTCGCGGTCGCGTTGGTGGCAGGGCTGAGCTGCACCCATGGCCTGGCCCCTGCTTGCAGCCCTCGTTGCTGAGCTGCATGGCTGGAGCATTGCTTCCTTCGCAGAACGAGCCCCTGCACCGGGGGGCGAAATGTCCCGCGCGGCATCTTCCCCAGGTGACTGAGTAAAGCCAGAATAATGGAAACTCGCACCCACTTGTCCTGCAGGGCTTCTGGGGGGGGCAGCGTACCGAGGGGTCAGGCTGGCAGCCAGCGCCGTTCAGGTGTGCGCACTCTTTGCTCTGTATGGTGAACAACACCTGAACGGCGGCTTCGCGTTTCTTCTGGAGGCTTCTCCCTGCCTCGCCTGGCGTTTTCGGTTCTCCCGTGCCCCGGGTGCTGGGCAGGGGGAGCCTGGGTGCCGCTGGCCTGAGCCTGCTGCCTCCTCTGGTGTTTGTTAGGAGAAGCTCTGCACTTGGCCTTCAGGCGAAAATGTGGGAGCAAACTGGGCAGAGTCTCTCTGGCGTTTGAACTGGGAGGAGTGGCAGAATATCTTTGCCAAAAAAAGGAAAGAATAGGCCTTATTTGTGAAATACCCCTGCGAATTGTCTTTGGATTGCTCGTTCCTAGGGCTGCTGGTTCTCTGCTGTTCTAGCTCTGTCGTTAGAGCATCGGTGAGAGAGGGTTTAGGCTCCTTTTTATTTAGTTATGGTGACTTCCATCAAATAGGTCAGGATTTCGTTGTGTGGTTAGGGTGGAGGGGAGCAAACGTTGGCATCGCATCCCCTCGGTCGCTGCGGGAACTCTTTTGGGTCCTGTGTGTCCCCCCGGTCCTTCT